TTAGTTTGTTTAACAATAATTATTCCTCCTAAGGAGAATTGAGTATTTGTGAACATTTACAAAGATATTGTCACTATAATTATTCACTGACCTTGAGGTGAATATTTGTTTCAGTATAATTTTATCCTTGAATATCAGAAAAATAAAGTTCCTGATAAAATGTTTTAGTATTACTTCTGCTTTGACAAACTTTGGCAAACCTCATAATTTACTGTTCGACCAGCCAATTATCATCTCATACTTGTTGGTTGCTCGAACAATAAAAGCCTGCAAACTATTTATTCAAGTTTAAAATTATACAAAATGTCTATAAATTTTTATTTGATTGCAGAGAATATCATGAGTAAGCTCTTGGACATTGTTGTRAATGCTAATAATCCACCAAGAATGGTCCACCAGGCTTTCAAATATATCTACTACTTTACTAAGGTTTGTATACACCTAATTGAAAAAACGTTGTCGGGTTCAAATAAAGGTTATATCATCAAAGCTCGAGCATGGGAAGACAAACGATTATGCTAATTTCATGCRTATYGCAGTTTTCCCTTCCTGTGCACATTTTATGCATCATGGCTTTGGCATGTTGTTAATCTAGGTCGATCGACTTTGCTCTACTGTGCATTTTTACRTGTCTATATGCAAATATAATACACATTTCGGAGTACCCAAAATCCTTTTCGGTCTTAGCTTCAATGATATGACCTTCTYGAACCCAACTGCATTTTTTCAATTAGGCGCACTAACCTTGTGAGTATTTAATGTGATATGTTTATCCATATACAGCTATTTCAAAAAAGGGTGGCAAACTAGGTTGCATGTTGCATGTTGTATGTTGCATACCAAGCCTGCAMTATTCTTCAATTGCATGTTATGGCATTGTGGCCTATCGGTCTATCAAACAAAAGATTTCTCATTAGTATCGGATTCCATTCTTAATGGCACAAAAATGGCAGCCATGTTTTTGACTTTGGACTCTCTTGGGAATGATTTCAACCCATCTATGGGTGTTGTGAATACAATCAGCAAAGGTCACAACAATATGGAATTTTCCTAAACTTTAAATTCAAATTTTCGTGGCATAATTTTGTCTGTAATGAAATAAATTTATGTATGAATAAAATACATTTCAAGCTTAGTATGCAAAATGTGACAAAACCTCACCAACATTTTTTTGAGCTGCTGTTGTGAATTCAGACAAGTATATATACTGAGTATTGTTTTACGATATAATGCATATTTAATGGTAWAAATATTTTCTAGGTTCGTGGCTCAAAGTATATAGTTCGTTTATTTTCTCATGAAGTGACGGACATAGAACCATTGTTGGACATGTTGAACCAGCAAGACTTGAAAGACCATCAAGTGAGTAAGGAAATGATGACAAAATTCTGCCTAATATGGCCTACTATTCGACACTTACCTGACGCTGCCTACATATTCTACTCACCTCACACTATATACCTACTGGGCAATCGTGTACTTCATGACCAGCCGACACGTGTCAGTTGACTATCGCCCGACTGTTAGTCGACAGTTGCCCGACTATCGGTCGTGTGTTAGCCCTGTGTTGGCCAAGCGTTGGCCGGCTATCTGCCGTGTGTTGCCCGTGTATTGACATCTCTACACACTTCACACCTCACACTATACCTTACACTTTAATTATTATAGTTCATTATTATTATGATCATTGTTACTGTTACTGCATTTTAGAGTGCACGCACTAAACCCGTGAATAATATTTAGTACTAATTAGTAGTAATTCATACAGAATCTTTTGTTTTCTATTGTTTGATTATCACTATTTAGTGCTAAAAATTAGTATTTGTTTCACGGGTTTAGTGCGAGCACTCTACTGTTTTTATTCTTATTATTGTTGTTGTTGTTACAGACTTGGGAAACACGTTATGTGCTGTTGCTATGGTTATCCATTGCTTGTATGATACCTTTTGATATGTCAAGACTTGACGGAACGTTTGGTGCCGACAAAGGAGAAAGGAGAAGACCTGTAGTAGATCRAATTATGGATGCCGCCAAGGTGAACTTTGAAGCTTAAAATAAATATCATTAATGATAAAAAATGTCTGCAATCGCCTCTGTACTGATCTGAGTCAGACCACTGCAAAACACATAGTTATTTATGGTTCTGACTCCCCTTAGTTACTGTTGCTATGTCCCACAAGCTCATCAGATAAGCTAGAATATATCTCAGAATTTAAAACTCTGATCGCTGGAAATGGATCATAAATTTATTCAATTGTTTACTGTCCTTTGAAAATWAAAAAAATGTGTTAWAATCTTCRYAGTACTCTCTCTCTGCATAATTGTTTGTGGGACGAGCTTTTAATTTCACTGAGAAGAAATGCAGCAACATTGATTGGTTYRCTAGTGTCTGAGTCGGAACCATGAATTAATAATATTTCTTAATGTCTATCTGCAGATATATTTATGTGTTCCAGACAAATCCAGAGATGCAGCTGCTCTCTTGTTGTCCAAGTAAGTGGTATATCMAGCAGGCTGGGTAACCTGTGGTTTTCTGTACACAGGAAGCCCAACCTAGATAAGACATTGAGTATTATATTTTTGTTGATAGGTTCGTGACAAGACCTGATGTGAAGAAGAAGAAGTTGGCTGAGTTTGTTGACTGGTGTTTGTGTTCCATCAATAAAGCTGAAGGTAACTTCCAACTTTTGTACATTGGTAATATTTTGTCTAATAGAATAGAGCCACTGCTGTATGTGGCAATGCAGCTCAATATTTAGAGGACATAACAATAGGTTTCAAATGCTCATGAGATTGATATTCTTTTGTTTTGTCTTCCAAATGACGTCTCATGCAAAGGGTCTAATAGAGGATTTTACAGCAGTTCTGTAGGAACATTTTATTCACTATAATTATTGGCCCATTGATCTTGTTTTACAGTAGGGGAAGCTATTTTGAAACAATCCCTCCATAAACACTCCTTTTTACCACCTCTTTCTCTTTTACTCCGACGAAGGACTAGCGTCCGAAAAGTCAGTTTTTGCATCTTTTCACGGTGTAAAATTAACCTTTCTATCATTACTGTTTCATTAGAAACACCAACGGAGCTCACACTAGTTTTTAGCTAGTTATCCCTCCATAAGCATTTATTTACTCTCTTCACATTTGTTTTGCATGGTTGTTTGTATTAATTTTATATTTAAGTATTTCTTATTCTATTTTCCAGGTACTACAATGACAGGAATGCTAACGTTAACTGGTATCCTAGCAACCCTGGTAAATATATCAGTTGTGTCAAAATCATTAATGTCTGGGTATCTCTGTGCTTATAGTTGGTGACATTTATGTTTTTATTTTTAGGCTTTRATTTTTAAAAATGGAAAGAGAGATGATTTAATGCCATATGGTAAGTGGGTGACATTCTTCGCCTTAGAGTTAATTTCTCTTGTACTGTTAACCCACCAACAACACCCTACTGACACCCTACCAAAAACATGCTAACACCCCACCAACACCCTACTGACAACTTACCAACACCCTACTGACACCCTACCACAACCATCCTAAAACCCTACTGACACCCTACTGACACCCTCCCTACACCCTACTGACACCCTATTGACACCCTACTGACTACCTACCAACACCCTACTGACACCCTACCAACACCCTACTGACACCCTACCAACACCCTACTGACACCCTACTAACACCCTATTGACACCCTACCAACACCCTACTGACACCCTACCAACACCCTACTGACACTCCACTAATTCCCTACTGACACCCTACCATTAAGCTACCAGTATTATTCTAGCCATAGTGTACTGCTACCCTACCAGCCACCTCAATACCTACCAACACCATTTGTTCCCATACATTCTCTACCATTACCAGGAAGTAGTACAACATATCTTGATACTGCTATGTGTTAATAATGATATTGTCATTACCAGGAAGTGGTACAACATATCTTGATACTGCTATGTGTTAATGATGATATTGTCATTACCAGGAAGCAGTACAACATATCTTGATACTGCTATGTGTTAATAATGATATTGTCATTACCAGGAAGTAGTACAACATATCTTGATACTGCTATGTGTTAATAATGATATTGTCATTCTTCAAATGCAGCACCCATTGTGTTGAAGCAAGTTACTTCATGTAATATTAATGACATTAATAACACTGTGTTAAGAAAGCTGAACATCAAACTCATCCAGGTAATGACTGTGTTATATTGTTGGCATGTTGTATTGTTGGTGTGTTATATTGTTGGTAAAAAATAGAGCCTTCATCAAACCTTTTTTCACCTGTTTTTTATCAGCGCCTTGGACTCACTTTTCTCAGGCCACGTATAGCAGCATGGAGGTAAGGTATTGATTCACGGATTTCCTCCAAGCTCTAGATTTACCCCCTCACCTAAAAGGATAAATTCCAATTCTTGCTCTGACTTAGATCAGCCCAGAGGTTGTTTCAGGGTTCTATCTGTGAGATAGCCATGCCCTGACTTAGATCAGGCCAGAGGTTGTTTCAGGGTTCAATCTGTGAGTTAGCCGTGCCCTGACTTAGATCAGCCCAGAGCGTGTTTGAGGGTTCTATCTGTGAGCTAGCCATGCCCTGACTTAGATCAGCCCAGAGGTTGTTTCAGGGTTTGATAAAATGGATACATTAATTTTCTGAAATTTCATTGTATACAAAACATTCATCATAAATAATACAATTAATTAATTTGTAGTTGTTTATAATGACCATATGATACTGTCTTCTTAGATATCAGAGAGGGAACAGGTCACTGATTATTAACTTGGAAAAATCACAGAACAAAGAAATACAAGTAGGTAACAATGAACTACTGTGCTGTGATTCTATTGAGAAACCCTTAAG